CCCTCCGCCCTCTCCACTTTCCCCCACCTCACCAGATAATTTACAAAAATGTTCTGTGTCAAACTGATAAAAGTGACATCTGATGGAAATTAGACAACCAATTGGAGAAATATGAGTATAATTTGTATCCAAGATTAAAGAACAAAAGCTACTATAAATTCTGAAATGGTAATGTTACAATCAGACAGCACTGTGTTAGAATTATGAGAGCTTATGAACAAAGTACAGTGAAGAATAAAGACCATTCTGTAACCTGTAAAGTTCCTCGACATTCAAAATAGATTTGAGTATGTATACTTTCCCAATAGATTCACAGTCACAGTATAATAAAGTAACTTTAGTGTAAAATACTGAAAATCATATTCATATCTAAGAAAAGCAGATCTGTAGATTGAAAATAATAAGAACAAACGTAAGATCATGATCTTTTAATGCTAAAAATATTAGCAGGTACAGAACTTACTTCAAATTCTAGAATCTACAGACAATTTGAATATCCAAATTCATCAAAGGAAATGGACTGTTGAAAAAATTATTATAATTCATTAGTCATATAGCAATACACTAAGGTAATATCCCCTAGATTTCATATGATTAAGAAGATAGTTGCTTGTACAGGTTTAAATAGATCATTGTGCAACATAACACAAGTGAAGACACTGAAATGACAAATAAAGAAGATCAAAACCCACTAGCTATAGGGGGAAAACAAAGAGCCTCACTCTCTTTGGGTTTGCCTCAAGCAATTAATAGGTCATACCACCATGTGCTGCATATTGAGACTGTGCAGAAGGGAAAATGTAGAACTTACTCAAAATCTTCTGAATGGTCTAAGATTTTAATCACAAAGGAAACAGGTAGGTCACTCTAGCCAGAAGGTGAGGATTGAATGCAATTAAGAGAAAATGGGGAATAAAGACTAAGAACGTTGAAACAAGCAACCAAGCAAATCAAGGTTTTTCTTCCAAAACAAACAAATATGTATTTAAGAATTACCATTTCAATAAAACAGTTCTTAGATAACAGCAATGGTTTCTCCAGATTGTTATTATCATTTGATACAGGATTCGCTTCTTCAGATCCTCTGTGTTCTGTGTCACACTGAGCAGAATCAGTACAAAGTGGAGTGGCATCACTTATCCTGTTCGATGAATGAGTTACCTCAGTTTCATTCAATTGACTTGTCAACTGACTAAGAAAGTATTGTCCTCCATTACGATGAACAGTATCAGTTCCACTGGCAACAAGGAGCTCAAAACAGGCAGAAAGTAGGTTCTGGGGAGAAGTAAGAAATATGCGTAGCAAGCTAAGTGCTCGAAACTTGAATAATTTATGCAATGGAGGTTCATTTTTGTCTGCTGGCTCTTGCTTCAGATCGCAAAAGAATTCAATCGGTTCTTGAAGCTTCTGAAGTTCACTATAACCTATTTGATATATATCGTTGCCCTCAAAGGTTGAAGTGAAAAATGTAAGCACATTTTCGAAAACTGCAGAACAGATACCACTAATAACAGATGATGTTGGCGCTTCATGTGACGCAGTGCAACATATCTCCACAAGCCCAAAAATGCAGGCCTTAGCTGTCTGATACGCAACAGTATCTACATCCTCTCCTCTCATTATTATAGCAAAGCTCCAATTATACATGTTGATGGACACTTTAACTGCAGCTTCCAAAGCAGTAGGGCAGAATGAAGCATACCGAGGAATAAGCTCCGCTACAATGCGTTGCACACTGGTGCAACCTATATATCAAGTATCAACAAAAAGAGATCATGATGGAGCTTCAAACATCTTTCTAAAAACTATTTAAGAGGGTCATGATCATTCATGAAGATGAATACTGGTTTTTCAATGAGAACTGTAAAGATTGTATGAGTACAAGTATTGAGCAAGTTCTTTAAGTTTATTTGCAACTTTGGGAAATTTAGTGATAATAATTTCTTCATAATATTTTTTACAAATGTAGAGTGTTCGTTATAAAATGAGATCTATAAATTTGTATTAATTGAATGTGTGTTACAAATCGGCAATCACTTTTACACAGAAGAAGAGAGAATTGATTCGATCTCTCTTTATTTAACGTGGGATCTTTGGGGCAATAGGATGCCTCCCTCGATGCTCGTGTCGAGTTTGCTTCCCTTTGACGATCTGAACGAAATTACGAACAAACTTCAGCGCGTGGTAGAAGCTTGGTTAGATGAGTCCAAACACCCGAGCTTGAATGTAAAAGTCGAATGCCAAAATGCAAGAATTCGGTTCTCTTAAATGCCAAGAATTCTGATTGCCAAAAGTCCTTTTTTCCTGTAGCCATTCGTGGCTTTTTATAGAGAGAAATGGGTAATAACCGCCTCCTTCGAACGTGGGAAGTGAGCGCAACCAATCCCACAATTCGATCAGGCGGTTTTAACCGTTAAGGTGAGCTAGGCGAGCTTGCAGGCGAGCCTGGATCATGCAGGAGAGCTAGGCGAGCTTGCAGGCGAGCCTGGATCATGCAGGAGAGCTAGGCGAGCTTGCATGCGAGCCTGGATCATGTAGGCGAACTTCGTGAGTTTAAACTCAACTCGTGTTGGCGAAGTTGGCGAGCTAAGCATTCAGGCGAACTTAGCTAACTTGCAGGCGAAGCTGATCTTTAGGCGAGCTTCGTTTCACCTGCGAAGTCAAGCATTTAAGCAAACTTGACTTGGCCTATTTGATCCAGGCGAACAAGCAAAACAAACTTTGTTCATGTGAGCTCGAATGCTCAAGTGGGGTTCAGTCATGCTGGTGAACTTCCACATTTATTTGTTAAGGATAAGGATAAAGGCAATTTTATTCGCCTACATAGAGCCGTAGATGCAACAGACCAACTAACATTTAAGTTTTAAGTCATAAAATATTCATTCTCTAAAAAATTTCGTAAAGAAAATTGAACTGCAACGTGCTGGTCCAAATCCCGACAAAGATTCGGGTCCACTTTGGTGGATGCATTACATAGTGTAACATATTGCCAATGTTTTAAATATCGGATATCGAGGAAGTATCAGATGACCAAAATTCATATCGGATTGCGGATATCGGGGAAATATCGGGGATATGTGGTAAATATCGGAATGCCATAATGAATGTTTGCATACATAGTATAATGCATTAAAATGTAATCCCAACATATGTAATGAAATTTAAGCATACAAAATATGAATAATATATGTTTAGGATCACTAATCAACCTTCTAAAACAAACAAAAGTGTAAAGCAACGTTGCAACATTCGATCTGCTTTTTTTAGGGCAAAATGTCATTTGATATAATGGGAAAATCTTGATATATCGCCCAAAAATTTCAAACACGGTATATTATTTTGCAACAAACTATGTAGAAAGATATATTGGTCCATATATCGGCTAATATATCGGCCATATCGGGGATTTATCACTCAAAATAGCTAAAAAACGGTAAAGGATATTTAAAGATCATATCGGTTGCGGCAAGCCCTGTAAAAGGATATATCGGGGGATATATCGGGCCATGTCGGGGATATTTAAAACAATGCATATTGCTCATCAATCCTTGCATTATGTGAATTGTCAAGCTTCAAAACAATGCAGTATGCCCTTTCCAGCCCAATTGATAATGTAGTAAACCTAAAATCGATAATGTAGAAAACCTAAAATCTAAATTTATTAGCCAATACAAATTCTATGACTTTAATTCTTAGTCTATTATTGCTCTAACCAAAGCAATTCCAAATTGGGGCTTCAAAAAAATCCACAAAAGGTATATATGGTTTTCAGTGATCAGCTGTCAGCTAAACATCTAAACATCAACCATTTCGAGGTAACCTGATACAAAAGAGAAATATGTTGTTGCACCACTTTAGTGCTACAATTAGAGCAAGAGTCGATCTAGTCAACAAAATCAGAGTTCTAATCGTGGATAATATACTATAATTTTTACCTGTGAAAGAAGGAAAGTATTTCGTTGAGAAAATAGATGATTCAATATAAAAACAGTAACATAAAAGTATTTCCTATATGGAGTTGACAACCTGGTTTAGCAGTTAAATAGGATTGAAACAAGCTTAAATACTAACCTTAATTAAAGAAAATATCAACTATTCTTTGTTTGTTGTTCAATGTTACTATGCATGGTTTGGCTGTTCACATGTAGAAATTCTCCTCCCATCTTTTTCAAGAAACACTACAATATTACGTGAGAGCTAAGCAAACCCAACACCATATTTGACCTTGGAGATTCTTCATAGTAACTCCTAACTTGATGACTCTTTTGATACTTATAACATAGCTCTTCCTACCCTCTATTGGAAGATTAATTGAAGACCATCTTGTGCTGCTTCCCACTTTCTGAAACCTAGAACTTTTGATCAATAATCTTCTACATTAGAGCAACAGTAACAATGATCGTTGCATATTTTGTGCATAAATTGTTTAGAACCTTACATAATGCTTAATAGGCTCGAAACTAGAAGATATTCTCTTAGTTCCATGATAAATTAATTTTGTTCTTGCAAGTTTTGATCCATGATCATTGACTTATGTTAAAGGTTAGGGCAGCTCAACCTTTTGAACATCTTATTTCATGGGAAAGAGAGACTAGAGTTCCGTGTAAGTAAAAATCTTCAACATTCTCTCTGATACCAATTTATGCACAAAACATGCAACAAACATTATTTTAAAAAGCACTACAGGTGTTGGGATCACTTAAGCAAGTGCATGACACTCAAATATGCCACACCACATGAAAAACACCAAGTTATCTGATCCACGCAATTCTCCAAATATCGGATGCCATAGACATGTTGGATGGAAGAATTTCATATTGGATGGCGGATATCAGGATATACCAAAGATATATAATAAATATTAGAGTGATATACTAGATAATGTGTAAATACATATCATAAATATTCATACTTTGGTGCACCAAAACATTTGAGTTGTGGAGAAAGGTGATGTCTTGTGCAAAATATCTGCAAAAGAATTTGGTCTCAATTGAGCCCTTATTCTTCTTCTCTATTATTTACATAACCACATATTTGCTTAGGTTTAGATCTCAATTGAACCATAAATCCCAACCAATCTTTTAGAACAAATGCAAGTCCAAATTGGCATTATAATATTTCAACAAACTTTATGAGGACGAAACATCACCTATTATATCAAGAAATTCATGATATATCACTCAAAAATTGCCAAAAGGCGGTAAAGGATATTAAGACCATGTTGTTTTGCAGCAAAATCTTATAAAATGATATATTGGTCGATATATCAAATATATCAGGGATAGTTAAAACAATGGACCCGGTTAAGTATAATAATTGGTAAAGATAGTGAGTTGAGTGCAGAATTCTAAATACAATCAACTAAAAGAAAGGGATAAATTACCAAATTGGTATTTTTAGTAAGAAACTTTCTGGTTTGGCATTAAATTTCTCCAACAATATTAACAAATTTCCACTAATAATAAGGCATGAATGCTCGCTGCAGGTGAAGAATTTGGCGCAAAAGTGTCACGCGACTATTACGTGGTCGTTTTATGGACCTTCGTCAATATTTTTGCTTAGTCCAAACTAAAAACCCTTCAAAATATACAAATTTCACACAAATACGACAATTTTTAGACTGTTAATCATCGTTTATCTTTGTCATGTCATTAAGTCACTGCCATATATGTATAGATGTTTAAAAGTGTACACGACAGGTCAAGTGATGGTCACATCAAGCTTTTGCATCAAATTCTTCACTGGCAGCAAGTAGTCAAGTCTTATTGCAAATAGAAATTCGGTATTAATGCTTAATGTTTCCATAGAAACTTAAAATACCATATCGAAAAGCATATCTTACTAAAAATACTAATTTTATAATTTAGTCTAAAATGAAGGGTAGAGTTTTGATTTTTAAAAATAAAATTTCCTCTTCTTTGATTCTTCAGAGTCTCAACCCTTTCCTTCATCTAACTATTGCTAGAGTCGCTTCCTCGAACCTTAGCCGTTGCTAGAACCACCTCCACCATTATCGAAATTTCCAAAAGAATTATTTACTTATTGACTTGTTCTATTAATTTTGTACATAAAGTTACAATAACATTTACAAACTTATCTTGACCTTCATTTTCTCCTTACTCACTCTATTAATTTTGTACATAAAGTTACAATAACATTTACAAACTTATCTTGACCTTCATTATCTCCTTACTCTCTTTCTTTCTTCCTCTTTCTTATTTTTCTCTCTTCTTCGCCTTGATTTATTTTTCTAAATTTTTGTCATCTTTTAAAGATTTTTATACATTAGAAGGAATTTTAAAAAATGTCAAAAAACGCTTAATTTGAATTCAGACCACATAGTATCCTCCACCCTCCACATCCCCTCTCATCAAGTTATTATTCTTCATTTGAAAACTTGTGTACTGAAAATGGTAAATAGCATCCTCCCACCTCAAAGCACATAGGCAATCTAGGACTGTAAATGAATAAAACCTTGGCAGTAGAACTATGTATTCTTCGAGCCTTGATTTTTTAAATTTCTATAAAAGATAGCTTAATATAGGCATAACCTATTTACATACTGATTTTAGCAATTAACCCTCAAAAGTAACTGGTTTTTTTTGCTCTTTTTACCTAAAAATTAAAAACTAGATTGTTCCTCTTGCAATGCATGGGATCTCGTTGAGATGATTTTCTGGTTTATTAACTGGTTCAGGAAAGAGATGGATGAATTTGGGAAAGAGGGAAGAGGAAATAGGAGGTGAAGTGGCAGTTAGTGAGGCAATTAATGAATTTTTAAAGGTTTGATAAAATAGCTCCCTATCACTTATTAATCATGCAACTGGAGGAAGCAATTTAGCATATAATAACAGATACTACCATAGTCTATAGATGTGCATTACTTATCAAGCTAAAGATCCTAACAGAAACCGTCCCTGTACATTAATGAGACAAATACATGTGGCCTAGAGTTTTGGATCAATGATACCAAATACTAGAGAGTCAAGGATGTAAGTCGTCATGGCTATAAAAAGATACTAGGAATTGGTTCTGGCTAGTATGAGTCATGTCCACACCTTTAAAATCCTATTCTATCCATATGATAGTGCATAGTGCAAATGTGATATCTTAGGGACGCAGGGGCTGGTTCAAAAAGATAACTTGAGTAACTATAAGTCTACAACCATCAAAGTAACTGCTCCCCTCCGCTTTCTCCCTCCCTCTTTCATAAAACTATCATCACAAATCCTTCCATAAAAATTTTATATAGCGAGATCATCAACAATTCATGTTATTTCTCACACACTCGTACACATAATAAGAAAGAGAAGTTAGACTTGGCTACTTCTGGAAGGATTTGGCTCAATCCTTCCAATTATAGTTAGTTGAATGAAAAATCACTTCAACTAAGTTGATCATCATTTTGAGTTCCAAAAATCAAACATTAAACAAATTTGGGCTTTCCTATGATCATGTAGCACAAAGATTAAGTATATTGGCCAGCATCCAGCTTTGAGCCAGCTCTGCGATTTTGATTATTTTTCGCATTAAGTGCACTGGGGGTGATTTTGTCAGGTTTTAGGCATTTTAGACTGTACATAGAAACCATTAACTCTTCTCTGCCCTTTGGACCTAGTTGATGGCATGACGTGTGCATCAGCCACTTGTTCAAGAACCTAATCCATATTGTATGAGGCCACCAAAACTATCTGCAACCTAAAGGCCCAAGAATCTATGTTTGACTATGGACTGCAGTAATTTGTCACTTCAGAGATTGCAATCAAGAAAATAGATCCTAACAATAATCAACAGTTCAAATTAGCGTAAATGAAACAAAAATCTCAACCTAGGGTTTTGCAAAAGTTGTGATTTTTACCATATACTGAACGACTTTCAATCCTTAAAACAAAGACATCTAGTTCAAATAAACAACTTGAAATTCTCTATTCAACAAAGATTCAATCATAGAAAGAGAGAAGGACCTCTTGAAGCAGTGATCAGAGAGAGGTAGGCCTTCTCCAAATCGGGCATAAAGCGAGCATCCTTCTTCTCGACGCAAAACCTAATACTTCGATAGCATTCGTATAGATTTCGAATCTCTTTACGATTGCTTTGTCGCCGGAGGATCTCGTCTTGAGACAGAGGCGGCGGAGTTGGAGGAGGAGGAGGAGGAGGAGAGAAGAAGCTCTGAAGAGGAGGAGGAGGCGGTGGTTCTGGTGACGGATCGTAGAGCTTTCGCTTTTTTAGTGGTTGATCGGCCGACGCCATGGCCGGAGACACCGGGGAATTGAGGGCCGCAGAGGGAAAGATTTTGAGGTAGCTGTTACGTTCTTGATATTTATTGGGCTAATTTCACAAAAACCCCCTGAACTTTGGTTCATAAAATTAAATTCAAATGTATATTGGGTTAATTTCACAAAACCCCCTGAACTTTGGTTCATAAAATTAATCTCAAATGTATTAATGAAGGTTTCGTTTGAATACCATGGTGTTTTTCTTGTTATATTTTTGTAAAAAAATACCATGATGTTGTGTTTTTCCCTTTAGTTTGGATGGAGGGTAGAGAGGGGGAAGGGAAGGGAAATTTCATTTTAACCTTGTTTGGGAGTTTCATTTTGTAGGGTAGAGGATGGGAATGGAGGGGAAATTTGGCCCAAATTCTTACACCCCAAATTGGGGTGTAATGGAGGGGAAGGGAAGGAAGGGGAAAAATTTTTCTCCTTCCTTCCCCTTCCTTCCCTTCCCTAAGTAAACTCCCAAACGCACCACTAGGGGCTGTTTGGTTCGCTTTAAAAGCCCGTGGAAAACTTTTACTTCACCTCCACGTCGGTTTTTTCACCTCCACATCTGATTTTTGGTTTCCGCTGATCTTTGTTCCCCTTGTTTCACTAGGGCTGAAGAGGGAAACTGAAACACAAATCGCCTCCACGTCGGTTTTTTTTCTCTCCCCCATTTCCTTCCCCAACCGAGTGAAATCGACGAAAACCCTGGCCACGTCGAATTTTTTTCTTCGTCGTTGATTTCTTCAGTGAGCTAGACTTACCTCCTTCACATCGCTCCCGCCAGAAACTCCAGCCAATTAATTCAGCAATCAAAGGACCAGAGCAAAGCCCTCAGGCAACAGCAGTGCATTTTAGAGTCCATCACCGACGTCACCGACATCGACGCCACAAAGGAATTGCAGCAGCGGCCTCTATGAATTGACCGGAGTCTGCCGAAGTCAAAGCCCAACTCCTCGCCGATCGACGCTGCAATTCCTCCACGAGATCTCGACGTTTACTGCACTGGCGATCGATGGTTAAATTTTCAGATTAGTCCTCTCGGAACCCGAAATTTCTTTCAGGTCCCTAATATCTTCTCGATTCTTATTTATTTATTGGGGAAAATGCTTCCAGCCCCCAAAACCCAAGAAAACATGCTCCCCCCCCAAAAGACTTTGTCAACGGGTGCTTTGCCCCTAAAATTAAAGATTTTGTTCTCTGAGCCCTCAAAACACAAAATCCAAGATATTAAAATATGTGAAAACCATAATACCCTTCTCTCTCTCTCTCTCTCTCTCTCTCTCTCTCTCTCTCTCTCTCTCTTTATCATGATGTACTAAGATGATAGTTGAAATGATTGATAGGGATTATTTTATTATTTTTATTGTTGATGAGGGGAACTAACTATTTATATTGGGAGATTGTTAAAATTACGGGTTAATTATTAAGGTTACGAGTTAATTGTTAAGGTTACGGGTCAATTGTTAAGGTTATGGATCTCTTCTCTCTCTCTCTCTCTCTCTCTCTCTCTCTCTCTCTCTCTCTCTCTTTATCATGATGTTACTATGATGATGTTAAAATGATTGAAGGGGATTGTTATTTTATTATTTTTGTTTTTTATTATTTTCGTTGTTGATGAGGAAACTAATTGTTTTTGTTTGTATTAGGAGATTGTTAAGGTTACGGGTTTAATTGTTAAGGTTACGGGTTGGTTGTGAAGGTTACAGGTTTAATTGTTAAGGTTACGGGTTTAATTGTTAAGATTACGGATTTATTGTTAATGTTACGGGTCGGTTGTTAAGGTTATGGGTTGGTTGTGAAGGTTACGGGTTTAATTGTTAAGGTTACGGGTTTAATTGTTAAGGTTATGAGTTTAATTGTTAAGGTTACGGATCGATTGTTAAGGTTACGGGTCGGCTGTTAAGGTTACGTGTCGGTTGTTAAGGTTACGGGCTAGTTGTTAAGGTTACGAATTTGTTATTAAGATTACGGGTTTGTTGTGTAGGTTAACTTCACAACCAAAGCGTAACATTCACAACCAACGCATATCCTTAGGTTAACTTCACAACCAAAGCGTAACATTCACAACCAACGCATATCCTTAACAACAAACCCGTAACCTTTCCTTAACAACAAATATTCTAAAAATATTATGGCTGTAGGGGTTTGAACCCCTAACCTCTTGTCCAAACTCCCAAACTTTACCAGTAGGCCAAGTGACCCAAAGTATTCATTCCACTCAAAATATATATACATATATATCCCAACGTGTAACCTTTACAATCAACCCGTAACCTTAACAACCGACCCGTAACATTAACCATCAACCCGTAACCTTAACAACAAATCCGTAATCTTAACAATTAAACCCGTAACCTTAACAATTAAACTCATAACCTTCACAAGCAACTCGTAACCTTAACAACCGACCCGTAACCTTAACAACCGACCCGTAACCTTAACAATTAAACCCGTAACCTTCACAACCAACCCGTAACATTAACAATTAAACCCGTAACCTTAACAATCTCCGAATACAAACAAAAACAATTAGGTTCCTCATCAACAACGAAAATAATAAAAAAACAAAAATAATAAAATAACAATCCCCTTCAATCATTTCAACATCATCACAGTAACATCATGATAGAGAGAGAGAGAAAGAGAATGGATCTATAACCTTAACAATTGACCCGTAACCTTAACAATTAACTCGTAACCTTAATAATTAACCCGTAACTTTAACAATCTCCCAATACAAACAGTTAATTCCCCTCATCAACAATGAAAATAATAAAAAATAAAAATAATAAAATAATCTCTATCAATCATTTCAACTATCATCTCAGTACATCATGATAAGAAAAGAGAGATAAAAGGGTATTATGGTCTTCACATATTTTAATCTCTTGGATTTGTGTTTTGGGGGCTCAGAGAACAAAATCTTTATTTTTGGGGGCAAAACACCCATTGACAAAGTCTTAGGGGGGAGCACGTTTTCTTGGGTTTTGGGGGCTGGAAGTATTTTTCCCTTATTTATTTGTTTATTTTTCTAAAATTTGGTTAGGTTTTACTTACTGAAAATCTGTATTTTGTTTAGCGTGCAATTTATTTTATTTTATTTTATTTTCTTGAATTATTCTGAGATCTAGGTTTTAGTTTGTTAATGAGGTCGTTGTTTATAGTTTTACATCTTATGAGGGGATTTTTGTGATTTAGGGTTTTAATCCCTTCCAATGGTTCTTTTAGCTTATTAGTTGGAATCAGAATTTGGGGATCTGAATTCTTTTGACGATATCATTTTTTTGATAGTTTAGATCATTTGATTAGTTACGAAATTTGATACTTCCTCAGTTTTTTTCCACTTTGATATATTAATAAATTAATGGCTCTCCTTCTAACAATGTTGGCATATTCTTTGACCATTATGAAGTGTAATGTTAATTGAAAGTTGTAATCTTTTCTGATTTAACTAATTTAATTAAGAACTAATGGGGCTTATACTTTTGTTTATATAAAACTTAGTTTTCTGATTTAACTAATTTAATTAAGAACTAATGGGGCTTATACTTTTGTTTATATAAAACTTAGTCTGCTAGTTGCAATCTTTATGCTAATTAAGAACTAATGGGGCTTATACTTTTGTTTATATAAAACTTAGTCTGCTAGTTGCAATCTTTATGCTGTTTTATAATCAGAGCTCAGTAGCATCAATTCTTTGCTAGTACAAGAAAGAAGATCAATTCCTGAGAGTACTTCATATCTTTAATGAATTAAAAAAATCATTGCTTAAAGTTAGGATGCAACTGTGCAAATAACTTAGTTGTATATCTCAGATACTTGCAAATGAAGTCTAAGCTAAATGAGTCATCTGTCAATTATTTCAATTATTCATGAATTATGCATCTTTAAATTTAAATGTGTGCACTTGAACTCTGTAAATGTGCTAATTTGACTGGGAAATGGTCTTTATTCCTAATCCAGATGAAAAGGGCAGAAGGCATTTTCTTTATGACGTGTGGTTGAGCTGCAACAATGTTGTTCATTGTGGAAGGAGGAGGATTCTTCTCTTCTTCTACATCAGGGTATAGCAAAGGGCTTGCCCTTTTACTCTTGGGCCAAAGAAACGAAGAAAAACCCATTAGAGTTTCACCATGGAATCAATACCAGCTGGTAGAGCAAGGAGTTAGATCAAAACGGTCAATCTCCAAGAAAAAGCAACCCTCATGGGATGCACTTCCTTCAGAGTAGCCTAAAGAAGTCGTCGTCTGTAAATTGTTCATTAGTAGTTGAGAATGGTGAGGATAGACATAATTCTTTGCAAGAGGCGGAAAGCAACGTATCTTGTACCGATAGGAGAAAAATTCACTGGACAGGTGCACATGGTAAAGAGCTTGCTGAGATAAGGGAATTTGAACTAAGGCACATTACACTGGTCTAAAAATGAATTTAGATTTTTAATTCCTAAGTACTTGATGCGGCATAAACATGTACCAAAAAGGTTGCAAGTGCACAACCGTGTCAAGTTATAGTATTTAAGATATCGATCCCACGAGGAAGATGTTTTGTAGGAGAAAATATAAAATCGGTTCTTATATTGTGTGCGTGACAAGTAAGATTAATGAGTGAATGTGATTGTGAAGAGATTGAGATAGTGAAAATAGTGTGTAAATAGGTGCAAGGTATAAGTGAGAGTGGATTTGAAAAAAGAATGAGTATGATCAATAAGGTGAGAAGGAAAAAAAAA